GGAGGAGGGGGAGAAAGAGAAGAGAAAGGGGGGGGGGCAGGAGGATCCGAAGGAAAACGAAGAGGGGGGAAAATAATGAAAAATAGCAATTTACCTATTCTACCTAGACAGCGTTGTGTCGCACCCCACCCCCCACGCCAGAGATCTGTAAAGCGCGCGCCACGGAGGTACCATTCGAGCTAATACCTATAGACAGATGTGTCCCCAGTGCTTTCAAAGTTCCCTCTTCCCTTCACGCGTGGGCCCCCATCTCGGTCTTGCGGGAGGTGGGAATGCGAGGTTCGCCTCGCCCAGAGCTCTGGTGGCCAAGCTCCTTGGAAATCCGCCACTGCAACTTTGTGCAGCCGCCGCGCGCCGGCAGCGACCCTCTTTGTTTAAGTTCTCGGATGCCATCATCTGGGAAACCTGCAGCCCTGGACCAGCGCGGGGCCCGCGCGTGCGAGACCGACCGCAAGCTGCTGCCGCGCGCTCTCCCCCACCCCTTTCCCTCTCTCCTTCTCCCTCCCTCCCTCCCACCCTCCCACCCTCCTCTGGGATTCTTGCAAGTAGCGGTGCGTGCCCTTGTGAGTTTGGAGGGTGCTGGTCATCGGATCCACGCGATGTTTTTGAAAGGCAGTCAGTCCGACCTTCCCCATAGATTCATAGTAAGTGCTTTCGCCCCCTATGCCTCTAGAATGCCGGAGGCAGCCCAAGCGGGTCCAGGCCCAGAGAACAGAGATCCCCCCAGCTGTGCCCTCCACCGCTCCGCGCCTGACTCTAATGCGTGTGTGTGTGTGTGTGTGTGTGTGTGTGTGTGTGTGTTCAGTGCGATTATTTGTGGTGCTGATTTTACTTGCTTGCTGTTCTTGGGCACGGGGGTGCTTTATTTTCCACTTTCCTTTTGGTATCAGGTTTGTGCGGTGGATGTGACCAGAGGCGACAAATGCTTTCTCAGCCTCAGTCCAGCTGAAAGAGTTAAGGGGGCCGGGAGGAGGAGTGCGCCGAGTAGGCGGGAGAAGCCGGGGTGAGGTGGGGTGGGGTGTGTGTAGGGGGACGCGGCCAAGCGGAAACGCACAGAGGAACCTCAGCGAACCAAGAAAAAAGAGAAAGTGGCAACGAAAACAAGGGCAAATTGAACCATCCTTGGGGATTTCCAATGAACTAACCCAATTCGGACATTCAATAAATACACAGCCCCTAATGAGTGTGCGAGCGCTTGTACCCTGCACCCCCAGCTGCGGTGCACCGGCCTGCAGCCAGCAGTCCTCACCTAGAGCAGCAGCCGGCCGAGGACGTAACTGTGGGACGGTTATATGCTCAGGTTATAAAGTGACCCGGCCTGCCGCGCCTTCTCTCCTGCTGCATAATTCCTTCCCGAGCTCACTTAGGTGAACTCAGCTCCTGCCAGAGCTCTCCAGCCCAGCAGCAGCCATGCAGCCTCTGCGTGATCTCAAGATTAATACGGTGGACTGTAGCATTTATGTAGGATCGCGGCCAGCTCCTGCTTGCCTGGGTGAAAATACCCACATAGGAACAGATCTAAAAGGCAGCAGTAACCAAACCCCCAAACAGAACGGATTTTTTCCCCCTCCGTGTCCTCCAAAGGTTCCTTTTTATATTTATGTATGCGTATATGTATATATATAAAAGATGGAACACAGATTTCATTGAATAAATCTGAGATCTCCAGGTGCAGACGTTTGAGTAGTCGGTGCCAGCACCCCGTGTTTTCCTTTCCTGCCGATTTTGCTTGGATCCGGCTCAAAAACCAAGAGAGTCTCGTGGTTTTGTTTACACTGAATGGGGAGGATAGGAACAGAGCCATGGGGCCGCCTTTCATTAATATACAGTGAGGATTTTGTCTAAATTACGGCTATGAGTTTCACAGTACACGCTTTCAAAAGCAGTCTCAGGTGGCCTGATGAAACGGGATAGCGCCTCTGCAAACAGATCCACTTTCTTTCTTTACAAGGAGGGTGTGTGCGTTCGGGAAGCCCCCCAAAACGCGGTGCTTCTCGGTAAGAGAAACGCACTTCTGTTCCGAGGTCTGTCCCTTTCTTCCTCCCCCCACTTTCCACCTACTTAGTTCTCGAATCGCTCCCCAGCTTCCCCCCACCCCCGCCCCTTTTTTTTTGAAAAAAAAAAATCCAAAGTATATAACAAGGGGAGAACAGTTAGTGCTGATTTTCATTTGCATACATTTTCATATATTTTGGTGAAAATAATAGACTAGTGAGATCTGGGCTTAGAGGAGTCAGTGTAAAGAGAAGGCTAAGGATGCTTCGGTTCTAGAGTAGAGACTGTGCCTTCCCTCTACCCCCAAGCAACTAATTCTTTAAAAAAAAAAAAAACAAACAAAACAAACAAACAAAAAAAAAACCTTATTTTAAAAAATCTAACCTTGGAAGTTTGCTAGGTAAGTGGTTTTGTTTTTGTTTTTGTTTTCCATTTTCTTTCCCTGTTTTCTCCTTTTCCTCTCCTTCCTTTATGGTGTATCTATGTTCTTGCAGGTCTGGGAGCTTATTTTCATTGCTTGGGACAGGAGAGGGTTGACAGAGAAACTGTCTGAAATAAGGAAGGGAAAGTGTGTTGGGGCGGGGGGGAGTAAAAGGAAT